ACATCTGCTTGTAGGTCTCTGTGTTGAAAAATAATMTTCCTTTAAGACACAGTGTAACATGATGCTTCACAATTTACTGAAAAAAAAGCATTATCTGCATTTCAGTCAGTATCTAACTGATCACATGAAACATCTAAGTTATAGTCTAATGCTGTTAGGAAACAGGTCATTGTCAATATCAGCTGACTACTTCCTAATTAATCAAATGAAGATATAGAATCTGTCACTCTCCTGTGCACTTAGAACGGCAGGCTGGAAGCTTCATGTGATTTTTCTTGGTCTCAGGATTAACCTTACCTGTACTGTATGTATTCCTCAGAACTATACATTTTATTTAAAAACAAACARCCAAMCAACTTTTAARAAMATCTTGTTGTGTAKACTAAGTAYTTGGGAATATTTTTAGTTGATTTTCCTTCAAGGACAAAAATGAAGCAGATGCATTGGAGGAGAGGAAATATTCTCCTGATAGCTACTTCAATAATTTCCAGTTTTAGCATGTTGTCAATTAARTTTTCTTTCTGTCATTATAAAGAARGTTATATAATGAAAACAATCCATGGTTTAAACTATGGTGAGACTTGAAAATTCATTTCAGGAAGTCTTATAAAAGTACAAATTCTATTTTTAAACACMCTTACCTGCCCCAAAGTAATTTGAAATGGTCCTTGCAATCGAATCTTCTTTGAAATTACACTTTATGGTATAGACAGGGAATGTGAAACATATTTTAAATCAAATTTATCTTCCTCTTTATTTATTTCCTCCTAGACAACAAACGAAAGCTGTTTGCTTTATCATGTCCCGCTTGTGCAGATTTTTGCTTGTGTCAGTTGTGACTTGGCATCTGCCCTTAGTGCTTTCTTTGAGACTGCAGCTCCTGACACTACTGCAAATCTTCCTAAGAACTTGGTCAGTGAATGGAAAGAATTCTTTTCTGAGGGAATTCACAATTTGCTGCTACCTTTGTTGGTGAAAATCACAGGCAAGTATATGACGAGGGGGTAATAGCCAGGCTGTTTTGAAATAGAGCTGAACAGGCCATATTTTTGAATTTAGAGGAATACAATATCAATATTGTTTATAACAGCTCAGTTTTTTTTAACATTTACATGCTAATTAGTAAAGTAATTGCACTTAACATAGGTATTATTATTACTAAGATTAGATGGAACCTGCTAAGTGCAGTCTTTAGTTGTTTCCAGCAGAATGTATTTATGGTGTTATCCACATGGTCTGCATCACAGCTTGTCTTCTTTTAAATAGGAGAAACCAAAACTGCATCAGAAGGCTCTTTTCAGAACTCTATGTTAACATCTTTGGGTGAAGCTCTAACTTACATCTCAAAGGAGCAGTTGTTAAACCATAAGCTGCCACCRAAGTTTGTTGCAGGCCAGAAGACAAATCTTCCAGATAAACTCCAGACTCTGCTGAACACACTCTCTCCACTGTTGCTTTCCCGGGCTCGACCTGTGCAGGTTTCTGTCTACCATATGYTGCATAAGTAAGAAACAACAAATTTCTCACTCCCATCACCTCTCAACACCCCTGCCCTTTTTTTTTTTTTAATGTGCTATAGAATATGTACTGGTAGAAAGTAATGTTCCGTTTTGGGAGAAAATCCTTAATGGGGCAATTTGTGGGGTTTTTTGGAGGACACTATATAAAGCTATGAATGCTAAAGTTAATTAGTAGGCTTAATAATTGTAAAGGTATTTATTTTTAGCCCTTATTTTAGCACTCATAGAATCTGAGTAAATTAAATTAAAACGTAAACTGAAATATTCCAGGTTTGATCTGGGTCTGACAATACCATTAAATAGTATGACCTTTTTATTTTCACTAGTTTAGGTAAATAAAGTGAATATATAGGTAGTATAGGTAGTATTCTTGTGAACTTTTTGTTCTAATACCTAAAGARACAATACAGAATTTGTAAAATAGTATGTGCATTTGACTCCCCAAAATGCAGACTGCAAGGCAGATGGCTTAAGCCAGCTACCATTATCTTTCACTTATACTGGGGCATAAAGTTGCAATAGCTTTATTCTAATAGAGAATTTTATTTTAACATGACTCAGGAAAAGTTAGAGGTCTGGAAGRGAAGTGAGCAAGGAGAATGCTCATTGGCTGTCACTCATGCACCATCTTTGCAATGGTGACATGTCTCTTAAAGATTCTGTGTTGTTATTAAGGAATAATTGCCATTATTTTATTGCCTATCAGTAATGTTGACATTGATAAGTGAAGAACTATGCATCACATATATTAAAATAGTTTATTTAAAATTATTAAAAAATTAAACCTCTTTTTTTTCCATATTTCTGTAGATTAATGCCTGAATTGCCTAAATTTGATGATGAAGATCTCAAATCCTATGGTGAYGAAGAGGACGAATTGGCATTGTGTGTACTTTTTCCCTCACTTTTTATAACACTGTATTCCATGTTTTTAAAATGTGTTATAAGACTGAAATTTGCAGCAGAATAGTTGTCAGCTAGGACATGTTAAAAGAAAAAAATACATGGCTATAGCAATAGGGTTTTAAATATTTAAAATATTTGATGTTTTKGTTCTATCTGCCTTTGCACTAAAACTGGAGACAGTATTTGCAATTGTTTTTAGGGCCGTTACTGGACTAAATGCCATGTATATGCTTTATATTGGAAAATCTTGGCAGATTTTTACTTGTATTCAGAATGTGTCCATCTGCACAGGTAACTTMAGTTACTTGAAGCTGAACAGAATTAACCTATGTGTTTTATACTTTTAGCTTGAATCCAATGAGGTCAATGGTTTGAAGAGGGAATGTGGTAACTGGTTAAAATTGCTTTTTAACTTCAACCCAATGATTAATACCTTTCCTAACTGCAGAACTGCAAAAGACATTCTAAGCCAGTGCCAACAGTGATTAGGAGATCRTTGTTCAGTTTCTCCTTTGTTGGTGTGACTCCAGAGAAAGCAAGAAAAGCAGCTCTCCATGGTGTAGGTTAAATCAGCTCAGCCATAGACCACTTCCAGATGAAGTGATCAGAATTCAGTTTAAATTTGTCTTCTAAGGAGGTAAAAATACCAACTATCCCTTTCAGGAAAAAAAAATGAAAAAGAGTGAATTTTCCTGTAATAAAAGGCTCATTTTATGTTCTGCATGCATGGCTTTACTTTCATGATTTTCTAGGAAGGCTATGAACTTTCTAGGAAGGCTGAATTCAGTTCATGCTGTGCTCAAGATTTGAGTTTACTATTCCATTTTTCCATAGGTCACCTCCAGCAGCTCTTATGTCTATCCTGGCCACTCAAGAGCTCTTGCTAGAAAACATCCTGGAATGCATTCCGGTTGGAGAATTTGCAGTTATTCAGCCCCTGAGTGATGAGTTCTGCCTTGTTCTAGGATATCTTCTCATTTGGAAGTTAATATTAGCTTTCTTTAAGGCAGCTTCTTCTCAGGTATATATTCAGAGTCTTCTTTTTAACTTAATTTCTTAACTTAGTTTTAGTCTTGAAGTTTCATCTGGCCTTTTTATTCTTTTAATTGTGTAGCTTCTTATCCCTTGTCTTTGTGAAATTTGTGAAATTTGTGAAATTTAGAAAGCATCAATAGATTTAATTTTCTGCACTGCTATAGTTGAGGATGGTAAAGTTAGAGCAATGAAGAATTAAGATTCATTAAAAGATGACTCTTGCTTGCATTTTCAGACAAGCTTGGTACATATTATGATCTTCTAATAATTCAAAATGATGCAGAGAACTAAACTGATCTAATCACTAGTTCTGAATGACAATGTTGCTCTTCCTCCCTGCAAGGACATATTTGTATTATTTACAGAGTAAGCTATATTTACTGTTCTTTGGTTTTTTTTGTGAATTTTTTTTATGCAATGCTACCAGCTGCGAGTTCTCTACTCACAATACCTTAGAAGAACTAAAAGCCTGAATAAACTGCTTTATCACTTGTTCAGGCTTATGCCTGAAAACCCTGTCTTTYCTGGGCAAACTTCAGAAGTTCCAAATAAGGACACAAAAACCTTCTTTACTGAAGAGCTTCAGTTAGATGTCAAAGGTTAGTAAAAATTGTATTTGTGCATTTGAGAGTTTGTTATATATAAGTACACCTTTTTGCTTAAAAGTACTTATTTAGAAAAACCTTACCTATAAAACAGATCCAAAGAGAGACAAATTCATACATGTATTTAAAAATTTTGGCTAACACTCCCCATCTGAAAYTTAACCAAAGTTGACATGTTCATCAGAAAAATCAAGAAAAACAAAAAACAGGAATGCATTGCTRCTATTGAATCCTGAATGTAAAGGTTCTAAAACACTAAAAACGTGTGATCTATTCTGGGATCATTGCTTCTAGATATATATATTTTAATACTAAATAGAATTTACATGTTTTCTTATATTTCAATATATAAATTCATAAGGTTAAAAATGTTTTAATACATATTTTTAAACATTTGAGATGTTAAACTGTRTGTTGTTTTTGTCATGGTGTTTAGAAGACTCAGTTAGTCAATGATGATGGGAGAAGATACGCTGCTATTTTTAGCTGAGAAACATGAAAACATTTTTAAAGTGTCTTTGAAATTTTTATGTTATGTACCTGTGTAGATAYAAGCAAGGAAATGGAGTTTCCATTTCTTACTTTTTTGCTTGGACATCACTGTATGTTGCAGAACAGTTTATCTGGATGACAGTAAGAAAGAATTACTAACATGACATTGGAAGGGAAAGATTTCTCTCATCTCGTCATATAATCATGAAGGTGGAATAGCTCTCGGGGATCATCCAAGTTCACTCTTTGGCTGAAAATCATATCCCCTAAACCATATCACAAAGTGCCCCATCTGCTTGTTTTTTGAACACCTTGCAGGGATGGTGAGTCCACCACTTCCCTGAGCCTGGTCCAGCACTTATCTATGGCTTCAGCAAAGAATTTTTTCCTAMTATCCAACCTGAACCTCTGTTGGTGGAACTTGAGGCCATTGCTATACATGCCTGCAAAGCTCARCTGTCCTCCAAACACCCTATTGTTTGCTTGCTCCAAAGTGAGCATGTGGTGATTTCTACAATATAAAATTATTGTTCATTTCTGGTGTCCACCTGGAGTTCAGTCTCTGAATTAGAAGGTGAATTCTGAGATGTGAAGTGTCAGGCTAAGGAACAAAGAAACCAGTGTGGTGAAGAAGGACTGAGTCAAACAAGCACTTAGAGTAGCAATAATAGGAACATGTACATGAAATACCAGTTACCASAGTTATGTTGGGATCAGAATTTTTGTATGTGGTGTGGAGGCACCAACATCTATGACTAATATGTTAAGAGTATTTCAACACCTTTTCTTTCCCTCCCAGGGACAGGGGTGCTGTCATCCCAGATCCCACACTTGGCCTGCTCTGTGTACCATATGACTCTGAAAGACCTGCCAGCCATGGTGAGGCTGTGGTGGAATAGCTGTGAGAAACGTGTCTTCAATGTTGTGGATAAATTCACAAGCAAATATGTCAGTGGTGTGCTCTCCTCCCAGGAAATATCTTCTGTTCAGACTAGCACACAGCTATTTAATGGCATGACAGTGAGTAACACTTGTCCTTTCTTTTTACTTACTTGAGTTTTTTGCAAATATTTCAAGAAATTTTACTTCTCAGAACCAGACTGTGGTTCTGAGTGTTTTATATGATTGCAGTTTTGTTGTTCTAAGTGACTGTTGAAACATAATTTTTCTTGGTATCAATATATTAAATTCATGTTTATTAATATTCTGTTTGGAAAATATGAAAGAATGGGTTTTAGGATGTGGAAGAAGTTGAGGAAGAAGTGGAAGGTACTGCTATCAATATACTACTTTTCTGTTTAAAAAAAATGTAATCAATCAGTGGATTGAAAACTGGCTGGTATTTTTCATTTGCCAAGATACGAGTGGTTTTTTGTTTTCTTTAAAAATAAGATCTTGTCTGATCTAATAAAATGTTTTAATGTGTATGGTAATGTATTTATAGTTTTTATGATATATATATGCATATATATATATTGAAAGACTAGAGATGGTGAGTATCTCTGGCATTTTTTGATACATATATTTATTTTTCTCATAGGTAAAAGCTCGGTCTGCAGCACGAGAAGTCATTGCAACCTATTCTGTTGATGATATCTTTATTGAGCTAATTATACAGCTTCCCTCAAATTATCCACTGGGATCCATTACAGTTGAGAGTGGAAAGAGGGTTGGTGTGGCYGTACAGCAGTGGCGCAATTGGATGCTACAGTTAAGCACTTATCTCACACATCAGGTGAATTTAAAGAAAGCTCCTAGTTCTSMAAACTTAAAAAGTCCTTATAGCAGAAAAATATTCTCAGTAATGCRGTGTTGTATAGATCTGTGTAACAGATCTCATCAGTAGATTTCAAAGACCTTAATAAAAGGGGGTTACTTTACCATCTGCTTTTCTCCAGACATAGAAATACAGGTAAAATGATCAGCCCACTAGGTCCTGTTAAATCCAGAGCAAGCTGAAAATTTAAATCTCTTGAGACATGAGCCAGTGTTTTCCCTGTGTGGCAGTACCGTCTCAACTATAATTTAAAAAAACAACAAAAAAAATCAAAACCAAAAAACCCAGTCCACGGAATTCTCTCAAAGACTGATGGTTGCTGAAATTGCATCGTCTGTGGTTAGAACAAAACAAAGCAGTGATTGAAARTTTCAATATCCCTTTATAAGTGCTCCTGAATGCACTCTTCCTGCTCTGATGAATCCTACATTTCTGTAGATTAGACTGTCATAAATAGTTCACTGCATGTATTGCATGTAATTTCAGATTATAAATCCTTCAGGCTTTGTTTCYTTCATGTTTTTATGAATACAATAGGGATAGTCCAAAGGAATTCTACAATATTAACAGCTCTTTTCCCTCTGCTAGAATGGAAGTATTATGGAAGGCTTATCTTTGTGGAAAAATAATGTGGATAAACGTTTTGAAGGCGTTGAAGATTGTATGATCTGTTTTTCAGTCATTCATGGTTCAAACTAYTCTCTTCCCAAAAAAGCTTGCAGAACGTGCAAGAAGAAGTTTCATTCAGCTTGCTTGGTAAGTACCTGGAGTCCATATTTTTAAATAGGCAAAATATTGTAGAATTGTAGAGTGGTTGGCTTGGAAGGGACCTTAAAAGCTCATCCAGTTCCAGCCCCCTGCCATGGGCATGGACACCTTCCACTAGATCAGGTTGCTCCAAGCCCCATCCAACCTGGCTATCCATGTAGTTTAAAGCAGAAACTTCTGTTGTAGTGCCATCAATTCTCCACTTTGTCATTGGAGTATCTGGTATTACCTAAACTCATAAATTATTTTTGTGGATTTTGTACTAAGATGTAAGGGCAGGTAATCAGAGAGGAGCTGCTACACCATGTGTGTCTACTAAGTGTATGTACAAATACATATGTATATATATACGTGCATATGTGCATGAGTTAAAAAGGGTTTTTTAATGTTTCTTTTTGATTTTTTTTTTTTAAAGTATAGTTAATGTTCAAATAGTTATATTCACAGAATCATAGAATCAAATAGGTTGGAAAAGACTGTTGAGATCATTGAGTCCGACCTATGACCCAGCACCACCTTTTTCAGCTGGACTATGGCACTAAGTGCCACATCCAGTCTTTTATTAAACATCTCCAGGGACAGTGATTACACCACCTCCCTGGGCAGACCATTCCAGTGCCCAATCTCTCTTTCTGTGAAGAGCTTCCTGATGTCCAGTGTGAACCTCCCGTGGTGCAGCTTAACAACACAGATCACTGGCATATAATGGTTATTATTGGTGATGTACCAGTGTTTCTGATGCTCAGCTTGCCTTTATATATTAAACAACTGTATTTCTCTTTTTCAGTACAARTGGTTCTCATCCAGCAACAAATCCACCTGTCCACTCTGTCGAGAGACATTCTTGTGAAACAAAACGGCCTTCTTTCTGTGAGCTAAATAACAAATGAAGAGCAGGCAATAAACTGTATGTTGAAAGAAGCTAACTATTTGGAAATAATGTCAGTTACTTCAAATTCTTCACTAGTGGTATATGATACATATTTACCTCTGGACTGGTTTTTTGTAAGTTTGAAGATTCTTCTTTGATATAAAGAAATATATAACGATAATTTATTTTAATTGGTATATTTCTAAGATATATTAAAAGTTTCAGAAATAATGCAGAGTTATGTTTGAAATGTGGTGTTCAAGCCACAGCATAGTTGATTAAAACCTCTTATTTTAGGCATATTCTAACATGGTGTTATGTAATTAACCCAGATGATACCTCTTAATATAACAGCTGAATATAACATAGGTGGTATAAAGACTTGATTTTTGATTATAATGCATTCATAATAGTCCCTTTTCTTGGGGGAAAAAGAATGTTGTTGCTGTTAGACATTAAGGCATGAAACTATGGTGATAATCTGTTAAAGCATAAAATTAAAACAGTCTGTTCTAGTAAGCTGAACTTTCACCTTTCAAAGTTCTTTTTTCCCAAAGCTCCTCAGCCATCCARTGGCCTACAATCATGAAAACCCAGAAGCCCAACTAAGTAGAGAGAGCACAATCATCCCTGCATGACAATGAATGACACCATCTACTTATGGCTGTTGGCTTTTAAAGAGAAGGCAGATRCAGTGATCAGTCTTTGTCTTCATGAGCTGGCAAATTAGCTATCACTGGATGGCCACTGTACTTCAGCTTCCTCAAAGTGACATGCAGATGTATCAGAATTTAATAGCCTTCAACTATACATTTTTTTCATGCCTTTTTTTTTTAACAGTGGTAGCATACTAGTATATTCCAACTTGGACTAGTATATTCCATCTTGGATGGTGGTGGGTTTCTTTGAAAAGTCAATAAAAACGGGGAATAAATAAATAAATTTTGTCAATCTCTGTAGTCTSTGGATTGCTGTCTCTTCCTGTGTGTAATAAACTTGTAGAAATTAATAGTATAAATTTTCAGATGTCAAGTTTATAGTGTGCTCAATTGGCTGTACCTCAGCAGCTATTTTTTTTGAATTTTAGCTGTTGATAACTGAAGTCTGTATTTTTAACAGGTAGTGCTAGGCTTCCAGAGGAGAAATTGCTTGACCTTTTGTTTTTAATAGGAGAGAATGGAAGGGGTTTAAAACTGGCATTGAAAAGGTCTAACTGAAAAGGTAGAGTAGGGGAGAAGCTGTATTGTTTCACAGTTATGGATGCTAAAGCTCCAGCATTTCCTTTGTTGCATCACTTTGGTTATTCTAAATTACTTATCTGCAAGGTCAGTAACTGATCTGAAGGCAGATACATTTTCAGGGATGAGTTTTCTTCATCTAGATTACTCCATGGTAGTGTCCTCCT